GATATTAGCATTTAAGTTCAAAAATTGAACTAATTAAAGTGCGTCTTTCTTCGGTTTACAATGGGTTTTACACTTATATTTTGAACTTATATATCCGCTGAGACTTAACTAATTCGTTTTTACACATTTATTTCATAAAATTATTTATTTTGTTTGCTCTATATAACTTAAATTCAATAATAACTTTCGGTTATATTTTCATTATCGTCATTAAAAAACCGCGACCAGTATCGACATATTATATATATCTTGGCTGTGTGTAGAATCCTGTAAAGTTGGTAATCTTATAATATTATGTAAGAGGGCTCTTTTAAAACATTGTGGTGGTTCTGCCGACCACTTAAAGCGATTTCTTCCGTAGTAGTAAGTACTTTCAGAAATACCAATATTACCACTTTTAAAACAAATTTTGCTTTCATTCCCTCTTCATTATCTAAATAATTCTGATATTTCAGAGTTACTGTCACTGCAAGTTTCAGTGACAAAATTAGGATCAACGACTCCATCATCAAATACGCTTATATCATCATACATTTCGTCGTCGCATAATTCATCGTCTGCTTCCAATACCCTTCAAATATCCTGTGGGCTCAGATCTTTTGAATGTACCATTTTTCGCTAAGTAATTAAAAGTTCACATTAAAAATACTAAAATCTTAGACTATACTTTCTATTTGGAATTTTTTTTTTTTAATAAAACTTACACTGATGTAGAGGTGTAGTAGTTTTTTTTATAATATACTTGCATTAACTCAGATGTAGTAGCAATATATTTCCCACGCACTAATCCCACAAATCCCAGCTGTGTGTTAAATTTTATTAATTTAATGAATTAATATAATTTTACTAAATTATTATAATTTCTCTGCATTACTAGCAATGACATGATGCGAGGTTCTCTCATTTTCCCCAATTTTTTTCTCACTCTTTTCCCCTGATTATAAAGATAAGGGAATTTAAACAGCTGATATCAAAAAAGTCGTCACGCCAGACATAAACATAATAATAAAAGTAACTGACAAAAGCAGTGCGAAGCGAAATTTTAAAAAAACAAAAGTTTTTTTTATTTATATATTACTAGCTTTTACCCGCGGCTTCGCTCGCATCGAATCCATCAAATAAATAACTGATATCATTATAGTAGATATGGATCCATATAAAGAATATATTTTATATATATTCCAATTCTTAGTTATGAAATTACGACGACGCGTGGTTCTTACTTCTGCATCATTAATTCTTCTTGCCTGCAATTGTTCTTGCGTTTCCGTTGTTCTTCTAGCTTCCTGCTGCTAAGCTTGTCTTTTCGAACGTACTCGTGCCTGATGAGAAGTTTCAGCTGCTCTCAAAACACGTTGTCAATCTGCTTGCTGTTGCCTTCTCAGCTCTGCTTGAACTTCACATTCTTTATTTCGTGTAACTTTAGCCTTACGCACCGGCGTAGAATTTCTTGACAGCGCCAATCATTTCTGCCAAACTTTTTTTTTTCAATTTCAAAATTTTCAAATTTATTTTCCAAACATATATAATCTTCCAAAATAATTTTTTTAATAATCCGTAAAAAATTTATAAATTTTGTAATAAAAAGTATCCTATGTTCATTCTGACACCTCTAAGAGTATATGTACAAAATTTCATGATGATCTGTTTAGTAGTTTTTGCGTGAAAGCTTATCAAACAAACGGACTTTCGCATTTATAATATTAGTATAGATATTATTATCTTATATGATTTTAAAAAATTATATATATTTAATATAATATCTAATTATATATATCCTTTTTTGATAGTATGATGGCGTCTGGCCTCGATCGTTCTTCTCTTCTTAACAACGTCCACCCATGTTTAGAATACGCCGAGGTTAACTGTAATTCAGGGCATTACTTATTTTTGCTGCACCATTATATTTATATTATTTTGCTTCTTTGTGGGTGAGAAAAAAGCTAATGCCGCACGCAATCATTTTTACCCGTAATAAATAGCTGGAATACTTTTCATTTCATAATCCTTTTGGGTAGGTTTTTACATTTCTCAGCCTTGGTATGTAGTGACACTATAATGCTAACTAAGTCGCCAATTGCTTGATTTATATGCCTCTGACCAGCCATCATATTTTCAAGCTCTTTAATTGTACAACCCAACTGGTTAAAAATTTAGGTGGTTTCACTATTTTGTGGTTCTTCAGAGAATTTACCACCTCTAATTGCATGGCTAGCATTTGCACATGTTTTTGTTGATCCAGCAGCGGTGGATATCTCATTTTCCCATTAGGAGGCGTTATCATAATTTAAGAGTTCCTTCTAAATGGAGTGCATTCACTACTGTTATCAGAGGCCACACCTCAATGAGAAAGTTGTTGAAAACTCCTGACAATAAGTATGTTCAAACGCTGCCCTTAAAACCTTGCTTATATTTTCGGTAGTTGACAATGCCAAACTCAAAGGGAATATTAAAAGGAGAACCAAATAGGAGAATAGCTGAGTGATAAAAACATAACGGCAGAGCAATAAAAGCACACATTTTGTTTGGATTGCTATTTTAGCGGAAAAAGAACCTGTTTTTCAACAAAAAATGTCACAAAGTCTATAAGCATAAACGGCAAATATTCTACTTGAGGTGAATTAATGGTGTTAATCTGAGGGCTGCCACGCGAAACTTTTTTCATTTCGAATTCGTTTTAATATTAACAAACAGTAACTACGTATTGTAACGGATTTCTCGATAAATCGTCTACCTGTAACTCACTCTTGAGTTCGATCACTGGATTGTTAAATAAAAGTCCCAATTTAATGGCTACACACTTATCTTTATTTCTTATTCCAACAACTTAACACTTATTGCTCGTTATTCGAGCTTACAACTTCTTGCTTATAGCTTAATTGCTCTTATCACGACAACACTCTAACTAGAACTGTGTTTGTGCACAATCCGGTAGCCCTTATATAGTAAATCTGTAACAAAACATTGCTTCTAGAACATTCTGGCAACTACGAATTCGCTAACTAGTTGCTTCTGGCAGTTTATCGTTCATTCGATTTTGTTCTATCATCTAGGTTCGTCACACTGACCTCCACCTAAGTCTGATCGTCCCGATTAGACATATTTGCGATACCAACCACAAAGCTTTTATGTCCCCCATCTCGTCTTCTAGGCTGGTGCTGACATCGTTAGCCGTCCTTCTCTGCTTGGAGTTAATTCCATCCGTTTTCCGGACACTCAGTTCGTGGTACATCCCTTGACTTAAAGCTGACTCGAGATTCCATTCTTGATCAGAACGTAACTCCATTGGAACACCGAATCTCGTTACCCACTTGTTGATGAATGCCTCCGCCACTGGTTCAGTCTCTTGGTTAGGAATTGTGTATACTTGTGCCCATTCATTGAAATGGTCCTTGACTACCAAAACATGACTATTTCCTAATTTATTGGTGGGGAATGGACCAACTTCTCAACTGCCGCACGCGAATTGTGCTGTTTCATCTGCCCATGACTCCTGGACCTTGATCCTTTAGCTACAATGTTCTCAGCATATTTCGCAATCCTTTCTATAGCTGATTGACAACCAGTCCAATAAAACCTTTGCTTCAAATGCTCCAAGGATTCCATGTCTCTCAAGTGTCCTCCTCTTGGACATTTGTACTGCACGTTAAGAACATCAGGAATTCCAACCCTTGGAACAACCATAAGTACTCGGAAGGGTTGCTTATTTTCGCTTTTCCATACTCGATGCAAGCAGCTATACACTAACTTTAAACTGCTCCGTTCTGCCCAATATGATTTTGTGGCTGGCCTTCCTGTAGTTATTTCTTCAATCGTTGTACATTGGTTCAACTCCACCTTATGTAATGCACCTTCCAATTTTGGATCTTCTTAAACAGAGTCATCCGTTTCAGGCTCAGTTTTATGCTGATCTTCCACCTGTGATGGTATACCCGCTTCCTGCTCTTCCAACTGTAAGGACACTTGTGCTGGTATCCAAGCTTTTTGCTCTTCTAACTGTGAGGAACTTTTTATTGGTTCACACGCTTCCTCCTCTTCCAACTGTGGGAACACCTGCCCTGACATACGCAGTTCCAGCTCTTTCGACTGTGAGGACCCTTGTACTGGTACACAAGCTTCCTCCTCTTCCGACTGTGAGGACACTTTTGCTGGTATACAAGGTTCTTGCTCTTCATACTGTGAAGATCCTGGTTCACATGCTTCCTCCTCTTCCAACTGTGAGGATACCTGCGCTGACATATGCACGTCGAGCTCTTTCGGTGCTGACAACTGTGCTAAAAAACGTGCATGTTGCGATGCGAACTGCTCTTTCAAATGCGTTGACCATCGCGTTTCTTGCTCTTTAAATTATACGTGTATCCAGCTCTTTAATTTGTGTCGATATTTGCGTTGACATTTGCGATATTGCGGCAAAAACCATGTTTATGTCCACAATCTTTGACGAGCATTGAGCCTCTTCCTTTTCTTCTATCTTTGTTGTCTCTTCTTCTAATTCCATGTGAAAGACATATTCCTCAACATTAATGTTTTCCGCCTCCATGGCCTCTCTCAACCGTGATTGTAATTCAGTTTTTAATCCATTTGTCGCCAAACCACGTTGCTCCAGCTCCTTTTTCAGTTGTGGAATCTTCAGATCGTTAAACTTGGCCATTTTTAAATAATTATCTCCTTGGGAATTTATTTGACAATCTCACTTCTGACACCAATTGTAACGGATTTCTCGATAAATCGTCTACCTGTAACTCACTCTTGAGTTCGATCACTGGATTGTTAAATAAAAGTCCCAATTTAATGGCTACACACTTATCTTTATTTCTAATTCCAACAACTTAACACTTATTGCTCGTTATTCGAGCTTACAACTTCTTGCTTATAGCTTAATTGCTCTTATCAGGACAACACTCTAAGTAGAACTGTGTTTGCTGCACAATCCGGCAGCCCTTATATAGTAAATCTGTAGCAAAACATTGCTTCTAGAACATTCTGGCAACTACGAATTTGCTAACTAGTTGCTTCTGGCAGTTTATCGTTCATTCGATTTTGTTCTATGTTCGTCACAGTATTATAGTACACTTATTTTATATTTCCTTTATTTACCTATATCACATCGATTTGTATGGTAATAGTCTGGTAACTTGCATTTTTTGGAAATATTTTATTTGGAAAATTTAAAAGTTAATCATTCATCATTTTGCAATATATTATTAAAAGTATCTCAGAGTGTACAAAAAAATTATGTTTGTCTTTTTTTTTGATATTTGTTGTTTTGTAGCACTGAAGAGAGAGTCTCAAAATCAAATAGGAGGTGGTTGCCCCCGTTGATTTGGTCGCTTGAGGACAAGCTTATACAGTGCCACAGTGTCGAAAGACAAGTTTGTCGTGTATGGCTACTGTTACCGGAAACGAATTACTAGAAAATGTGGCCGCAGCATTATGTGTTGAGTTATGTGTATCAGAGGATTATTAACGAGTGATGCATGAAACACAATGAATGCGGCAGACGACAGGCAGCAACCGTCCAATATTAAAATACAAACATATAATTCAAAGCTCTAGCAAGTCAGGATGGGACCCAGGTTATATAGATTTCATTCAATTGAAAAGTTTTAGTACGGCAGCAACGAGTTGTGAACATAAGCTATTTGATATTTCGCTGCCTTTTTCAAATTGTTCAAGAAGTTAGCTATGAGACGACATTCACAGCTAAAAACAATTTCGTTATGGTGCAGTCGTCTATGTGTTTAAAGCTTTAATTGCGAGTTTTGGTTGAACATCTCGGTGGTTTGAAAACATGCTATAATGGCAACTATCGAGTACGCAACAGTTTAGCTTTCCTACACAAAAACAATTGTTCTCAGATTTTGTCCGAAATGTACGGTATCTGGTTGTACATTTGTTAACTAGACTAGAAATACGTCAATCTATGTTTAATGTTGTTATATATGCTGTAATACTAAATATATCTATATGGTATTAGTAAAATAAATAGTTACGATATGATTATTTAGTACATTCGACAAGTGGTAAATAAACACATTTAATTGAGGTAAATCTTAATTTGCTAACTACTAAGTGTTAAATAAAATTGAACAGGTTAAAAAGTAATTATTACTGATAGTCGAGTTCACGTAATGAATTTTTATTTGATTGTGTGTATTGCTGTGAAAACTGTCAGATGTTTTGATCCACCAGGTTCAGCGTGCTGACATTCAGGTATATAAAAACTTAATAAGATAAGCAATTTCTTATGTGATTTAATGTTTACATCAGATTTTTTTAACATTACAAGCGATAAATACTGTTATAAATAATTATTTACTGTTCTATTAACTAAACAAAAGGATTGTGAAGTTTTATGAAATCACGGTAAAAGTGAAATTTTTGGTAAATGTACTTGTATAGTGTATGTCCCCCAACGAAGGAGGTTGCGAAAATTATAACTTTCTTTTTTTAAATCGTCTTATTTTGACTCGAAAATTAAAGGGTCGGCTTTATTATACCATCCAACGATTTCAGGGTTAAAAGGGTATGGTTGGATAGAGGAGACTCTCCAGATATTTGCATTTTAAGTTGAAAATTTCACAAATTTTATCTCAAAATTTCTAGATTTATAGCTAATTTTTCTCTTATATTAGGCACTTAATTTACACTTACACTTCATTAGAATGTTTCTACATATTTATTTTATATTAATTGTTTTAATATTTGCTTTAAATAAGCATTTTATTTTTACACAATTTTCGTAATATGCACAATAACAAATGGGTTCCGGCCGGCCGATTGCCTTGTATGTTGTCAACAACGTTTCTTTGTCTTTTCCCCAAGAGCAGCCGGCAAGCGATTTGAGGATTTTGTTGTGGCTCTGTACTTTGGCAGTTATCGCGGTCGTGTGAGAAGTGAAGGAGCACAGACTGTTCAATGTAACGCATAAGATTTTAGGGTTATTAACCGTCGGAATTTTTGTGCCATCGACTGAAATGTTCAGGTTCAGTCTGTACTCCTTCGTCCAATTTGTGGAGATGGTCGCTGTGGATTTAGTGGGGGAGAGTGTCAGACTCTTTGCAGAGAAGAATCGAGAGAGGCCGGAGAGGTAGCTGTTTACTTATGAGCACATGCCATCGATTCCATTGCCTTACGTCAATATCGTGAAGTCATCAGCGAGGTCATGGAAATTCCCGCTGGTGATTGGGGGAGTTTCGAAATGTAGAAATTAAACAGTAGTGGGGAGAGGACACCGCCCTGCGAAACCCCCTGTTTAATTCTTCAAAGTTTGGAGTTTTGACCCCGAAACAGTACGGATGAATGCCGACCGCTCAGGTAGTTCATAGTCCACCGCTTCAGCCCTGAAGGGAGCGTTGATTGTTCTATGTCCTCACGTAGCATTGTGCGATTGACTGTGTCAAAAGCTTTTGACAAGTCCAAGGCTACGAGGGTCGGCCTTTCGCAGGGTGGCTTCTGGTTTAGGCCATGAATTATCTGGGCGTTTATGACGCTAAGTGCTGTGGTGGTGCCGTGCACTTATCAGAAGCCATGCTGGTGGTCTGCTAGACTCAGGTGGTGAGTGAATGTCGGGAGTAGCAAGGCCTCAAGTGTCTTCACTACTGGGGAAAGGAGAGTTATCGGGCGATAAGACTTCCCTTTGTTGGCGGGTTTCCCAGGTTTCAGTAGTGGGACTACTCTTCCGACTTTCCACACATCGGGTATTTGAAGAGTGGACATCGACAAGTTGAGGACCTTGGTGAGGTAGCTTACTCCCGTCGAGCCTAGATGTTTTAGCATCAGCTTGCTTATTCCGTCAGGGCCAATGGATTTTGACGATTTGCGAAATTGACGCTCGCCAACGATGACGTTGTAGCAGATTAAACTCCTACCTATCCAGAATAGACCCTGACATACCAAACACAAGTCCTGCATGCAATGAGTCTTCGCATGACACTAACCACCTCTTTGCATGCCCAACAAACCCCACTCATCTAACACCCCTCTCCCTATGGTCCGACCCCGTCGAAACAGCTCGTTTCCTGGGCCTTCCGTTAGATGACCTCGACGACAACGAATCTAGAATTTATCACCAAAACGGGGATTAGGTAACCGTTACAACAACAACAACAACAACATGACGTCCATAGGAATGGGTAGTGCGTTGAAGATGTTCTCAGTGAATTCTGTGAAGCCCAGTTAGCTTTGTTAACGTTAAGGAAGGTGCGGTTGTCCACAGAAATAAAGTCGGGAGGTTTCTCGATCGAGATAATTATGGGCAAATGGTCTTATGCGAAATTTAGCATAAGTCGCCAAGTTATGTTATTTATTTATCAGACCTCCGCAAGCGATGGTAATATCGGGCGAGTTATTACAGGTGCCCATAATTCCACCATTATCTCGCTCGCGATCCTTACGCAAAACGTTGAAACCTGCACAACTCAGAAGATCTGAGCGGCTGTTTATTTTGGTTTCTTGAACCGCAGCTATCGCGGCTCATATATGCAACTATCTCCTCCATCTTACTCTGTAGTCTGTTGGAGTTAAATTGTAGAATTCGCGTTTGTTGCGGGTGTCCGGGTATGATCGTTGTGGTGAGGGAGGTACAGGTTAGGTGGTGGTTGTTGCAGCTGTAATATCCGCATGGGCGGTTGTCGCATTGTAGTATTATTTGGCGACGCCAGTTGAAGGGATTGGGGGGCTGACTCCTACAGCATGGGGCACCATACGACGCACTCCACTCACGTGTAGTGCGCAGGCCGGAACACGACAGCAAGTAACACCAGCCAGTGCAAGAATTGCACTTGACTGATGTGACGTTCTGGCGTATTTCCGACTGACACACGGAACAGACTGTTCGAGGAACCAGGAGTTGCTGAGTGGTTCTCGCACGGGGATTGGAGCGGGATGAAGGTTGTTGTTGTTGTAGCGGCAGAATTCTTGATGACGGTAAAGGGAGGGGGTTGGTCAGACTGGGAGTCATGCTGCCTAGAGCTCCTTAGGCCCGTAGAGGTCCTTACTTGGCCACTCGACTGGAGTGGCGGCGCAGTGCGCGAACATGGTGCAGATTGCACAGCCGTTAAGGTTGGTGTCGCAGTATTGCGTTGGCAGCATGGAGTTACGTAACTCGTGGTCCACTCCCTATTGGTCTTAAGGACTGAGCATGTCTTAAGTTGGCTCCATCCATTGCATGTATTGCATCTAACCAAGGTGGAGTTTGGATGGAGCCTATTAGCGCATATGCAGCAAAAAAATTCCTCGGGGCCCGGGTTAGACTCAATGCCATCACGGGTCGAGAGGATACGGAGACCCTGCTGCTAGGTGTTGCTCTAATGACGACAAACTTAAATTAACACTTACCGATCCAAGCAGGGTTAGCCCTTGGCCGGGTCAATTCCGGTAACGAAGAACCGGCTGTTGTGGGAATTGTTCGATCCCGGATTCGGAAAGAAATAGGACGCGAAAGGAATGACGACTACCTTGGTGTTGGATCAGCCAGGGTTATTTGTTTGAAGGAGTTCTACGCGAAAAAGTTACATTGTCATAGAGAGTTTAACATAAAACTTAACATCAATGTTCTCTAATATTTTATTTTTCTAGGTCTTGGATTCCTGTATTTGGGATATAATCGGTTTTCATTTCTTTCAGCTTATTTACAAAAGAGGTAACACTGGTTATTTGACATTTTTCAATCCTTTTGTTATTGTCAGAATTAATAGAATTGAACAATGATTTATAATATACAATTAATGTGTACAAACGAGTTAGTGAAGTGTAAGTGGATATAAAAGTAAAAAATATAAGTGTATAATTCATTTGAAATCGAAAAAATACGTACTTAAGTTAGTTGAAATTTATAACTTTAAACGTAAATATCTCGAAAACTATAAGTTTCCCGCGTCTATACCTATAAATTTCATACTAAGCTCCACAATTATATATTATACAAGACTGTTATTTGGTAAAACGAATCGCATTAGGAAAAAATCTGTCTAAATCACTAATGTATAATAACGAAATAATAACCTCGCCTACTCCCCATATAACGGTTTCGATTAAAACTACTAAAAGTACGATAACTCATTAAATAAACAAGTCAGAGACTTTGAATTTAACACATAGGATGGTACGATTAAGCTTTATAGAAGCCAATACGAAAATTGGACTATGGTCGTGGCACTGCTCACCTTTAGGTGAAAACCCATATATCGCAACCTACTTGACCGATTTCAACCAAATCGGTATATAAAAATGACAATAAATTACCTGACAATCCGAAAAAGGATGAAATCGGATTAAACCACGCCTGCCTCCCATATAACACACATTTAAATTCCATCTGAATGTTTGACTTTCCAGTACACAAATCAAGCACTAATGAATTATTGAAATAAAACTTTGAGCGAGTGTGTTTTTCTAATAACGGTGCATCTGTGTGTCTAAAATGGAAAAAATCGGGTGATAACTTGCGCTAGCCTCCATATAACTAAAATCAAGATCCGGTCATCCGGTTAACTTTATACTGAGGTACCTGAATGAAACTCGGAGATAATTTTTTCCGTTAGCAATTTGTAGTAATGCCAAAAATAGATAAAATCGGGTCAATACTATCCCTATCTCCATATGTACATAAAAAAAGCTTTATGCCGAATACTTCGGTCAGTGTGTGAGTTATTTATAAAAAATATGTTCTCTCGTATAACTTAACCATATCAAAGGTTAATACAATACCTCTCCGGTTGAGTTTATCAACACATACATCACACTTGAAGATGTTTTTAATATAATTTTAGCTGATCGGAAGTAAAATATAACAATAAAGCTAAGTGAGTATGTCATTTAATATAACTTAATAAAATACCAAATTGTAATCCATTCAGGATTTCGTCGAATTATGAATATTAAATTCTTTTGCAATATTTTTTGATATAAAGTTTTGGCAACACCTGAAGTTATTTAGCCACCTTTGAACCTTGCAAGATGCAAGAGTATAAAATGTTCGGTTACACCCGAACTTAGGACTTCTTTACTTGTTTTCTTCTGATTTAAAAAATTTCATCAAAATTAATTAGAAAAAAATAAGTCACAACCCCTGTATATTTTTATAATCTTGCAACACGTTCCTAAAAAGTATAATAGTTTTGTTTACCTAACGGTTGTTTGTAACACCTAAAACTAATCGATAGAGTAGATATAGAGTTACATAATATTAACTATGAGGATGACGAGACGAGTTTAAATTAGTTCTGACTGTCTTTCCGTCTGTTTGTCTATCAGTGCAGACTGTAAAAGGTGAATAAAAATTGAGATATTGTAATGAAACTTTGTTCACGCGTTCCCTGGCAAAATGGGTCGGTATTGCAGATGGGCGTAATCGGATTACTGCCACGAAAACAAAATGCCATAGTGCCATAACTAAGCATTAAATTTAGATATAAAACTAATTTGGTGCAGGGGATCGCAGTAGAGAAGGAAAAATCGGTTATGCTCAATCAACCAAACTTGCCTAGACGAAGTACTTGTATCACCTGTTGTTGTTGTTGTAGAAGTTATCTAATCTCCGCTTGAGTGGTTAAGTGCAAGTTTGTTATCATCTATCGGTAGACCCGGGAAACGTGGTGTTTCGACGGGATCGGACCATAAGAAGTGGGGAGTTCGATGAATGCGGTTCATTGGGCATGCAAAGAGGTGGTTAGAGTCATGCGGGGATTTTTTGCACGCAGGACATATGCTTACTAAGTTGGGGTCTACTCTTCATAAGTAAGATAAGTACAGGAGTCCTCATCGTCATGTCCGATTAATGGTCATCATAATGAGTGTATATGCCTATTTATTTTTTATTTCAAAAAAACAACCATTTGGTGAGCAGAACTGTATACTTTATTATATCTAGTCTAAAATTGATATAATTAAGAAAATTATATAATGCAATTTTAATATTATTTCAGTAATATACAATCGACGAATAACATATATAAATATAAAGAATGGATACCTTCGATGTGTCGGACCGAAACAGGTAAGTTATTACAAAAAGCTTTGCGGAAAATTTGCGTTTTGATGTCATGACATCGTCCTTATAATCAGTGTGAATGTGAGATGGTGTTGTCTTTAACACCTGAGCAATGTTGGCATTTACACATTACAGTTCAGTTTTTGAGTTGTTTGCTAAGAGAATGTTGTCATCTAACTGGAGATCTATGAAAAAAGCATATTAGACAAGACGGAGCATTTGAATAGGGGTGTTAGATATAAGAGGATCGAATGGGGACCGGCCATGATTGTACGATTGGTTTACTGCTCCAGTATTCAGATTGTAATTGCACAGGGTTAACGAGAGGCGCAGGCAGCCCGAGCTTTTGATTTACCATTATGCGTTCCCTAATAGTGACGATACTCGATGCTTTACTACTCTCGACCATTACACAGAAGGAATTTCTGCTACTACCTCATATGGCGATAATTTCACAAATCTCGGGCAAAGAAGTAAAAGAAAATATCTATATCCATTATGTTTCTAGTTTCTTTACTGTTAGGAGCTTAAGACTCTCCCGAAAATTCCCTTGTTGTTCACAGCCCATACTTTAGCTCCGTCTACTGTAATGTTGGCTCAATCTTCAAAGAAATTGTTCAGATCGGACCACTATAGCATATAGTTGCCATAAAAAATGAACGATCAGAATAAAGTTCTTGTAAGGAAAACTTCAAATCAACTTGTTGTATAGAAACTTTTTTATTTGTGAAGGGTATAGCCTTGGTGCAATCGAAGTTAACGTATTTTCTTTTTTTTTTAATAATTATTTTTATTAAAATGTTAGACAAGGAATCAACTACTCTCAACGGAGAGTTTTTAGCACACATTTAGTATTACAGTTTGTTGATGTATATAATTTTCTTTTATAAAAAAAAATTTATACCGAAATTTTTTTTCAGTTGGTATTTCGGACCGATGTCTCGTCAAGATGCAACTGAAGTGCTAATGAATGAGCGCGACCGAGGTGTATTTCTAGTACGTGATAGTAATTCCATCGCAGGTGATTATGTTTTGTGTGTAAGGTGCGTGTGTTAAATATTTATTATATATCTATCTCATCCAACTTGTTTTAATTCAACCAAATTTTTTGTATTCACATGTGATATTTATTACTTATAGAGAGGACACCAAAGTTAGTAACTATATTATAAATAAGATACAACAACAGGATCAAGTTTTGTATCGAATAGGGGATCAAATATTTGAAAATTTACAAAAATTGTTAACTTTTTACACATTGCACTATCTTGACACCACTCCGCTACGACGCCCTGCACCAAAAAAGCCTGAAAAAGTTATTGGTAGATACGACTTTGATGGTAGTGTAAGTAGTAATATTTTATTAAAATTACATATTTTGATTATTTTATATACCTTAATGTTTTCTATGCGTTTAGGATCAAGACGATCTTCCTTTTAGACGTGGCGAAATCCTGACTGTAATCCGTAAGGACGAAGATCAGTGGTGGACGGTTAGAAATCAGCAGGGACAAATCGGTCAAATTCCTGTACCTTATGTTCAAAGAGTTAGTCTATTCACCATTCTATTTCATCTTACATTAATCTGCATATATGGCGGAAAAAAAATATTATTATACTGTTTTAACTGTACTTTATTTTTAGTGTGAAGAAAATACAGATGATAGTTGTATTGATCGGCCATTATCGAGTGGTGGCAATTGTGGCACTACTTTAGCACCTAGTAACAGTTTTCGTTCCCCGCTTCTATCAAGTGTAGCTTGCAAAAATGATGCCATGGTTCATTCAACATCTACAAATTGCCATCAGTTCAACAATTCGTTGAAACGATCCGATTTAAATGTACGTATTTGTGGTGAACTAGTAAATTTATTTATATGATTTTATAAATACTTTCTTAAAAATCTAATAGCGAAAGCTACCAGCATTTGCCCGCGTGAAACAGGCACGTGTACCCAACGCCTACGACAAAACTGCACTAAAACTTGAGATTGGTGATATAATCAAAGTAACCAAAACTAATATAAATGGCCAGTGGGAGGGGGAGCTCAACGGAAAAAAGGGTCATTTTCCATTCACCCATGTTGAATTCATTGATGACTGCGATCCGCTACATAACGCTGACGATGCAACGTTGAAGGCGTTTTCTGTGTCATGCACAAATAATGACTGGGTTGAGTAAGCTAATTATGAAATCCGTGCGTGATTTTTTTGTATTCCTACTTATGATTGGATATAAATTAATTAAAATAAATAAACGGGTCTAAAATAATTTAAAATTTCAGACATATGATAGTTTTTTAATTTGACATTAAAATAGAATTTTGACTGATACTGTGAAATTCGTAAAAAAGGATTCATTAAATATAAATATTAAATATGTGTAAGTTAATAATTACTAATTTATGTACATCAACATGTTACTGCACTGTGTATTATGAAGAGATGTAAGTGAAAGTAGTGCCCAAGAAAAATTGTAACCGATTAAGAATAGTGACACTCGAGTTCATATTTTTTATATATGCATACCTTCATAAATTTTTTTATATTAGTAAGCATATTTTGTAAAACATATGTTTGTTTATCTGGTCACATATTTTATGTCATAGAATCATCTCTATTATCCTTACAATAATTAATATACATTAAGAATATTAGATGTCGTTGCTATTATTAAAATGTGTGAAAAAATAAACGACAAATGAAAATTTGTTTAATTTTAATTAGAAGGTATCACCCTCTCCTTATTACGACATACATGTATCTACTTGCGAATATTCTTAAAAGCAATTTGTTTTTTTTTTTTAAATCATACATTTCTCTATTGATTTCGTTGTTCTAAAAACAAAGAAATATTGAGAGAAAAAAGTGCCATCTTATGAATGTGTTGTACATATGTGACTGATCTTGACCAAAAAGTTATGTGGTTGGTAGATCAGGCTACAGTCTTATCCTTATCGCAGGGTATTTAACGTTTTCCGTGCGCAAAAATAGCAAACATTTCAAAACCTTCATCGAAGTATTCACGTCATAATGAAATTACGTTTTTGACAATATTTTTTGGCTCTATTGATCGGAATTGAGAAACTATTACAACATTATAAATAACATTAATATCTACCTTCCATGTCAAAAACAATTAAAAACAAAAAACAACTTTAGCTATAATACCCTTCATAAATACAAAGGGATTTGATCTGAACAATTTCTGCGGAGAATACATTGTTGTCTGAAACCATAATTCATGCCTAATTTCGTGAAGATACCTCGCAAAATAAAGTCTTCCATGCAAGCACTTTATTCTGATCGCTCAGTTAGTTTGGCAGCTATATGCAATAGTCATCCGATCTATACAATTTTTTCGGAGATTGCATTATTCTTAAATAATAATCCATGCCAATTTCGTGAAGATACCTCGTCAAATGAAAGACTGAAGATTCATGCCTAATTTCGTGAAGATACCTCGCAAAATAAAAAAGTTTTCCATTTGATTCCGATCGGTCAGTTTGTATGGCAGCTATATACTATAGTGGTCCGATCTAACAATTTCTTCGGATATTACATTGTTGTCTTAGAAAATAATTCGTGCCAAATTTCGTGAAGATATTATGTCAAATTAAAAAGTTTACTATACAAGTACTTGATTCCGATTGTTCAGTTTGTATGTCAGCTATATGCTATGGTGGTCCGATATCGGCTGTTCCGACAAATGAGCAGCTTCTTAGTCAGAAATGGACAGGTGCAAACTTTCAGATCGATAGCTTTAAAACTGAGGGACTAGTTTGCATATATACAGACGGACATGGCTAAATCAACTCAGCACATAATGCTGATCATTTATGTATATATTTTATAGGGTTGTTGTTGTTGTTATAACGATTATCTAATCCCCGTTTGGGTGATAAATTCTAGATTCGTTGTCGTCGAGGTCATCTAACGGAAGGCCCAGGAAACGAGCTGTTTCGACGGGGTCGGACCATAGGGAAAGGGGTGTTAGATGAGTGGGGTTTGTTGGGCATGCAAAGAGGTGGTTAGTGTCATGCGGAGACTCATTGCATGCAGGACATGTGTTTGGTATGTCAGGGTCTATTCTGGATAGGTAGGAGTTTAACCTGCTACAGTATCCAGAACGAAGTTGCGCGAGGGTCACTCTAGATTCGCGAGGCAACTCGAGCTCTGTGTCTGCAATGGGTGGTGGTTTGACTCGTATTACGCCATTCACTGAAAGGGAGTCGGTGAAGGTGTTAATGGCTCCACTGTGAATGGCGGTCAGTGCCTGTCTGAAGTTAGTTGCGTCCGAAGTCTGGTCGGCGTGCTGTCTGATGTCGTCGACGTAGTCAAGGAAGGACCTCTTGATGTTCCTAGGAGGCTGCTCCGCTGCAAGCAGGCGTCTGCAGGGGTGGTTTCTGCGAAAACATCCCAGCAGAAACTGCTTGGAGAGGAGCTCGTTATGTTCCTTAACCGGAAGCATACGGGCCTCGCTATGTAGGTGTTCGATTGGGGACATCAAGAGGCACCCCGTGATAGTCCGGAGTGCAGTGTTCTGACAAGTCTGAAGCTTCTTATTCTGCGTGTCACTGCATCCAGGCGACCATATTGCGGCTGCATAATTGAGGACCGGCCGGCCGATTGCCTTGTATGTTGCCAACAACGTTTCTTTGTCCTTTCCCCATGAGCTGCCGGCAAGCGAATTGAGGATTTTGTTGCGGCTCTGTACTTTGGCAGTTATCGCGGTCGTGTGAGGAGTGAAAGAGCACAGACTGTCCAAAGTGACGCCTAAAATTTTAGGGTTATTTACTGTCGGAATTTTTGTGCCATCGACTGAAATGTTCAGGTCCAGTCTGTACTCCTTTGTCCAATTGGTGAAGATGGTCGCTGTGGATTTAGTGGGGGAGAGTGTTAAGTTCCTTGCAGAAAAGAAGCGAGAAAGATCGGAGAGGTAGCCGTTTACTTTTGAACACATGCCATCGATTCCATTGCCCGACGTCAATATCGTACAGTCATCTGCGTACGAGGTCATTGAAATTCCCGCTGGTGTCTGGGGGAGTTTCGAAATATAGAAATTAAACAGAAGTGGGGAGAGGACACCGCCCTGCGGAACCCCCTGTTTAATTTTCCTAAGTTTGGAGTTTTGACCTCGAAACAGTACGGATGAATGCCGACCGCTCAGGTAGTTCATAGTCCACCGCTTCAGCCCTGGAGGGAGCGTTGATTGTTCTAGGTCCTCAAGTAGCGTTGTGTGATTGACTGTGTCAAAAGCTTTTGACAAGTCCAACGCTACGAGGATCGTCCTCTCGCAGGGTGGCTTCTGGTTCAGGCCATGAACTATCTGGGCGTTTATGACGCTAAGTGCTGTGGTGGTACTGTGCACTTTACGGAAACCATGCTGATGGTCTGCTAGGCTCAGGTGGTGGGTGAATGACGGGAGTAACAAGGCCTCAAGTGTCTTCACTACTGGGGAAAGGAGAGTTATCGGGCGATAAGACTCCCCTTTGTTGGCGGGTTTCCCAGGTTTCAGCAGTGGGACCACTCTTCCGACTTTCCACACATCGGGTATTTGAAGAGTGGATATCGACAGGTTGAGGACCTTGGTGAGGTAGTTTACTCCCGTTGGGCCTAGATGTTTTAACATTAGCATGTTTATTCCGTCAGGGCCGATGGATTTAGACGATTTCGCCTTTTTGATGACACTCTGACCCTCCCTATCGGTGAAAGTAAGTGGTGCGCAGTCTTTTGGCATTTTGCGCAGCCGTCGGGTAACACATCGTTTGGCCTTGTCGGTCGAAGGGTGCAGTATAAACTGTCGGCTAAAGTAGCTCGCGCACTTCTTCGGCTCCGAGGAGGCATGGCCATCGAATTGGATTTCAACCCGATCGTCATGTTTCCTCGGATTTGACAGGGCCTTGACAGTAGTCCAAAGCTTACTCACACCGGTGGAGAGGTTGCAGGACTTCAGGTGCTCTATCCATTTTGTCCGCTTATGATGGTTTACCATTTGCCGAATCTCCAAATTGAGATCCCTTATTCGGTGATCACAGGGATCGGCATGGCGTAAGGTGTCGCGCTCATTTGGTAATACAGCTGCTTCGGCTGGGAAATTAGGGCGGAGTTCCGCTATTCTTCCAGCCGGTATGAAGCGAGCTGTAGCAGCAGCGATCACCTTGCGGAATTGACGCTCGCCAACGATGACGTCCGTAGGAATGGATAGTGCGTTGAAGGTGCTCTCAGTAAATTCTGTGAAGCCGACCCAGTTAGCTTTGTTAAAATTAACATAGGTGCGGTTATCCACAGAAATAAAGTCAGGAGGTTTCTCGATCGAGATAATTATGGGCAGATGGTCTGATGCAAGAGTTAGCATAGGTCGCCAGGTTATACTATTTATCAGACAACCGCATATCTGGCGAGCTATTACAGGTGCCCATAATTCTGGTGGGGGCTTCGTCATTCATTGTGCAGAATGTCGAATCGTCTATCTGTTCCGCCAGCTCCATCCCCCTACGATCGTTTGACAGGCAGGAATGCCAAAGATCGTGATGCGCGTTAAAGTCGCCTAGCACCAGACGGTTTTCACCACGAAGTAGCGCATCTATATTCGGGTGATATCCTGTTGGGCAACATGTAACTGGGGGGATGTATATATTAAATATTTCGAGCTCGACATCGCCTGACCGGACAGCTATACCCTGACATTCTAGGGTGGTGTCCCTGCGGTCGATGTCAACATCGATTAGACGATATTGCACGGTGTTGTCCAATATGAAGGCTAGGCCTCCACCATTATCCCGCTCGCGATCCTTACGTAAAACGTTGAAACCTGCACATCTCAAAAGATCTGAGCGGCTGTTTAACTTGGTTTCTTGGACCGCAGCTATCGTTACGCGCTCCCGGCTCATAAATGCAACTATCTCCTCGATCTTGCTCTGGAGTCCGTTGCAGTTAAATTGTAAGAGTCGCGTTTGTCGCGGGTGTCCAGTCGTGATCCTGGGGGTGAGTGGGGTGCGTGTAGGTGGTGGTTGTTGCAGCTGTGCTATCCGCATGGGCGGTTGTCGCACTATGGTGTTGGTTGGCGACGCCACTGTTTGTGATTGCGGGGGCAGACTCCCACAGCATGGGGCAACATACGACGCACTCCACTCTCGTGTGGTACGCAGGCCAGAACACGACAGAAAGTGACACCAGCCAGTACAAGAATTGCACTTGACTGATGTGACATTCCGGCGTATTATGGTCTGACACACGGAGCAGACTGTGCGAGGAACCAGGAGTTGCTGTGTGGTTCTCGCACGGGGATTGGAGCTGGATGAAGGTTGGGGGGGAGGTTGGTCAGATTGGGAGTTATGCTGTCTATGTGAGCTCCTTAGGACCGTGGAGGTCCTATCTTGGCCACTCGACTGGAGTGGCAGCGCAGTGCGCGAACATGGTGCAGGTTGCACGGCCGTTGAGGCAGATGTCGCATTATTGCGTTGACAGCATGGGGCCACGTAACTCGTGGTCCACTCCCTGTGTGTCTTAAGGCCCGAGCAGGTCTTAAAATGGCTCCATCCATTGCATGTATTGCACCTAACCGAGGTGGAATTTGGATGGAGCCTTTTTGCGCATACGCAGCAGTAGAATACCTCGGGGCCCGGGTTGGACTCGATGCCCGCACGGGTCAGGAGGATACGGAGCAACCCTGCTGCTAGGCGTTGCTCCAGTGACGACAAACTTAATCTAAAACTTACCGATCCAAACAGGGTTAGATCGTCGAAATAACAGCCCTTGGCCGGATAAAATCCGGGTCAATTCCGGTATCGCAGAACCGGCTGTTGTGGGAATTGCCATATTTTATAGGGTCTCCGACGTTTCCTTCTGGGTGTTACAAGCCTCGCATGTGGTTTATTGTATATATTTCAGAAACCACTAAAGCTATATCAACCAAACTCGCTAGGAACTACATCTCCCAGCAACGCTTAAAGTCTTAATATGAAACTATGTAAAAATTGATCGTGGCCCCACCCACCTTTAGGTGAAATCCTATATCTCAGGAATTACTTGTCAAATTTCAACGAAATTTGCTGCATACTATGATTCTGATATTTTATGTTATTTTGTGAAAATAGGCAAAATCGGACTACACGTCTACTACCCATACATCCTAATTTTAAATTTTCTCTGATTCTTTCACTTTATAGTATATAAATCAAGCAGAAAAGCTATCAGAATAAAACTTTTCACAACTAGCGCACTCAAGATTTTCCATCTTATGTCTAAACATTTTCGAAATCATACCATAACTTTTCAAGCCTGCATAATCGTAGTAGCGTTTGACCCGTCAAAAGCTTTTCAAATCCAATCATACAACACTACTAGAAGGTATCGAACAGTCTACGCCCCCATCAGGGCTGAGTGGCAGTCAATCGTCCGTATTATTTCAAGGTAAAAACTGAAAGTTAATATGGCAGTTTCTTCTGAAACGCTTTCACAGAAATCACCATTGTGGTCATCTGTTTGGAGCGGAGGTACCTCCTATGAGAATCTGGAGAATATTCTTAGACGACACTGAACACCTAGCCTAACTACGGACGCAAATGATTTCAGACAAACACCAAAGACCATTCACAGCTATTATCACCTTCACTGACTCTCTCCCAGTAAATGGTGTCCTTAGTATAGCTAGTTAAAGTTCTAACCATCCGGAATTGACCCGACAGCACAAACAACTTGTGCATCGTCACCCAAACAGGCTCTTGATAACAACAACAATAACTCCAGGGTCCATATTATGAGGAAACGTAAACTATGTAACAAGGGTGCTCTATAAGAGTGAAGATTAAAACACTTTTACATGTTCATGCAGTACATGTTAATGCGTTTATTGGAGATCAGAAATTATGTATATTAATATTCTAAGTAAAACAGTCAAAAGAGTATCACAAGCGTAGCAATAAAACTCTGAGCCTAAAAAAGCCAAATCTAGTCTGAAAAATATTTAAGTATTTGGTCACACTGGTAATAGTCTTTTTTTATTATTATACATAACTTTTTTATTCATATCACTCAACGTCAAAATCGGCTGGATATTGGACCAAACCAATTTTTTTTGAGAGATTGAGTTCAAAGTTAAAAGTAATATTTGCCTTGTTTTGAGATTGAGCTTATTGAAAACATCATTAATAAGTACAGTATGTAAGTTCCTAAACATTAAAGATATGAACACCATCCACTTATTCCTCTCATTTCAAAGGAGTAAAATATTTTTGGGTTAAGCTTGTATGACAGATCCACAGACAGATGTTGAAAGGTTTCGAATTCCGACTAGTATTTTTCAAATAATTCTTTTTTTTGAAGATCTAACTTTGATGACTGACATATTTGGTAAGCTAGACCCCAAAATATTATACGCAATTGAAATGAGAGGAAAACGTGGATGGAGCCCATATTTTTACTTTTTTAAGAAGTCTAAAAATGAAATTAGTAATGATGTGTTTCAATTCTAAATTCGAAGCCAAATATTTAGATTTTGGAGGATAACTTCAAAAACGGAAAATTTTCTTACTTAGGACTCTACCTCTCGGAATAAATTGGCATGGTCCAATACTCAGCCGAGTGTTGTACAGTGTAATGTGTGCGAGTACGATTTACTATTTTTTTTAAATACGTGCTGACTTCGAAAACGTCAATTGCAATGTATAAGAACTATATAATGTTCTGTAATGCAACCGAGATATTTTCGACATTGCATCCTGTTTTGAAATGCATTAAACGGCAGTCGATGCGCAGTGACAAAGGAAATCGCACATCACAAATAAAGTTGATGATTTTGATTATTATCATATGCAATGGTGGAGGAGTTAGATTGATAAGCTTTTTATTAGTCGTTTTATTAAGTTATACTAAATTTGGATTCAATTCAGATAAGGTGTCAAAAAATGTACTTATGATCGCAGGAATATAATATATTTTCCTATATATTCGTATTTGTATGATGTTTGAGCTTCTTTTTTCGATGAAACGGAAATAATTATGTATAATTAAACTATTTGGTTTAATATTTATCATTTTTTATCTTTTTACGATCGCAAAAATAAAACAGCTTATTGCGAAAGTAAACTTTGCAGCAACATTTTTATACTCTCGCAACCTGTTGCTACAGAGTATAATAGTTTTGTTCACCTAACGGTTGTTTGTATCACCTAAAACTAATCGAGTTAGATATAGGGTTATATATATATAAATGATCAGGATGAAGAGACGAGTTGAAATCCGGGTGACTGTCTGTCCGTCCGTCCGTCCGTGCAAGCTCTAACTTGAGTAAAAATTGAGATATCTTTATGAAACTTGGTAGCATGTTTCTTGGTACCGTGAGACGGTTGGTATTGCAGATGGGCGTAATCGGACCACTGCCACGCCCACAAATCGCCATTAATCAAAAACAAATAAATTGGTATAACTAAGCTCCCCAATAAGATACAATACTGTGATTTGGTACACAGGATCACATTAGGTGGGGGCATCTGCAGTTAAAAAATTTTTTTTAAAGTGGGCGTGGTCCCGCCTCTATTAGGTTAAAGTGCATATCTCCTAAACCGCTAATGCTATAATAACAAAATTAACTAGAAGCAAATGTTTTTAGCACTTCTATTGACGGTGTGAAAATAGTNAATTAATTTTAAGAGTTTCTTTTATGACATACTCATTGGAATATTTTGCTTAATAATGATAATTTTGAATTTGAAAGCATATTATTTTCAATACTTTGGTAAAATGATCAATATTGTAGTTTAATGCTGTTAGTGGAATAATTATTAAATATACTTACTTTGCTTCCTCAATTGTGGCAAAAGCCAAATCGTAGTTTTGTTCGTCTGCATGCACCAGTCCTGATTCCACACAGGCGTAGGCCATCAAATATGTATCCTCTCTTACTTGACTTTCCAAGTTCATACATGCCTCAAGATCTCTTAAAAAAAACGATTTATTTTACACTAATTTAAGAATGTGTAATTTTGAACTTACTGCAATGCGAGGAATGGTTGCTTCATTTGTCGATAACAAGCGCCACGTAATAATAAACATAACGCTTGATTATCGAGTTCATAAATATCAGTAACATTTCTGTGCGCTAACTGTTCCATTTGGCGTTCGATTAAGCGGCAAATACTGTCAGCAAGCTGATAATTTTTACCAAGTACCTTGAATGTGTTCCAGACAAACATTAGCTCAACAGCTGGAAGGCACAGGTAATCATTTTGCGCAAAATACCGTGCAACTTTCTTACAAATAAATTTTTCCATTGGAAGTGATTTTCCAGCAATTCGTTGCTTATGCTTGGGTGCATCTCGCATTAGACGCTCAACGGTTTGCCGCTCAATATCGTTAAGGTCATCGTTCATTAGCATTATAACTGCCTGCTGATATGAATAAATTGTACGAGACCATTTGCTTTGTTCTACTAAGTAGCTGGCGTACAATCTCGCCTCGCGCCAATCTAACTTCAAGCTGAAAATATGTGCGAGTAATAAGCATCGGTAAAATAGGAACATTATAATTCGTACCTTGGGGTATAAATAAATGAGAACAGATAAATTTAATAGTTATATAAACGTACTGAAAAAGAAACGCAATTGTTTGGACGAATTTAATTTGTTAGTAGCTGGTTATAACGGGAGGAAAATTATTATTTTTTTAAATATATTATATTATATGTAATAATAATAACCCAATTATTACCCTCCTCCTGCCCAATCGACGCGAGGGGCGTAATCCGCATACGTGCGGAAGTAGCCGAATCATGAAAGGCAAGAGAGTTTTTTTAAGCGTCGAGATCTAAAACTGCTCAGCTACAGAAATAAAAATTTTAACAGCTAAGATTTAAATATACGTTATAACAAATTGTTACGATTATATTTATTAAGAGAAAACAATATAGTCCCTCTAATTTTGACAAGTTAGTTAGATAAATCAAATGTGCAGGAATTAAAATTATGACATTTATAAGTTTTAAACGACTAGTGTATGGAGATAGACTTAACCTAGAATCCCATCGGAAATTCCCTAAGGCGAAAAATAAAAATTGATTTTGAACAGACTCTAACGGATTTGGTCCTAACAAAAGTTATAAAAGTAACATACAGATCTCTTAATTCTTCAGACCAACCTTTAACAAAACTGAGAACACCTTTTGCTTTAAAGACCATAGTATCAATATGAAGACTCAAATTAAACATAGGGTCCATAGTTCTAGTCTATAGTATTTAATAAATAAGGAGAGGGGTGCACAGATCCACGGGAAAAGCACAGCGTCTTACATTTTTTGAGATTCAATGGCAAATCATTTCGATTACAAAAAACAACCAAATTATTTGAGTCATTTTGCAACAGACACCTCTCATCAGTTGAAGTATATGATTTAATAAGCTTTACGTCGCCGGGATCTATGTAAGAAAATTGTTGAGTATTCTATTGCAGAGGAGATATCGTTATTAAATAACAAGAACAGAATCGGGCCAAAATTTCCACCTTGCGGAACACCTGAAGATACATTAATTGTATCTGAAAGAATATCATCAAATATCACTCGATGTGTACTTGGCTGAAAGCATAGAAGATTAGCTTTTTGTACGAGCGTCGAGAGATTTACTTTATCAAAAGCTTTGCTAAAGTCAGTTGATATAACATCCGTATACTTATGTTCCCTAAAATCCAATGATCCATTTTTAAAAAATTCATATAAATTTGTTAGAGTAGATTTCCCTTTACGAAATCCAACCTGTGAAGAAGAAATTAATGGAGATATCAAAAAAGTAATGACCTGCGACGATAGCTTCAAAAAGTTTAGGTATAAATGATAGTTTTGCAAGGAATTAAATATCCTTGTCAAAGGCAAGTAGATATATTTGACAATATTTTTTACGAAGCATTTCTGGGTCGTAATTAAACTATGGTTTTAACTTATTTAAATTAAGTAAGATGTCTTCATCAGAAATAATTGGACAGTTAATTGATAAAATAAAGTGCTGATGGAAAAAATTTTAGGGGCATTAGTACATTTAATTCGAAAAATGCTAGTGATTGTTATGTGACATGATAGATTTGTATTTCATCACGGACGAAAATTTGGAAATCCTGCGTTTGGAGTTAATGAAATCATAAAACAATTTTGGATAACGTACAATATTTTCTTTAACCTTATTTAAGCAAATAGTATAACATTTTTCATTTAGGTCTAAATACTGTCGACGCAATGCAGAATATTTAGAATAGTCGACAATTAAACCAGTTTTTTTTTTAATGTTTAAAAGCTCGAGTTTTTGTACTTTTATTAAAAATTACAATTGGAACATACTTTTCAAATAATTGCTTTCTTGGCGTAAATAAAATGCGAAACACTCAATATCTTCATTATAATCAGGCCAAGTTTAAGTAGAAAGTTTCCTACTCAACTTTTAAAAGTTATGCTTTTGCATAGTTAAACCGTGTATAGAAGTTAGAAGTTTGATGGTTACTACCCAGTACATTGTCCTATTAAACATTTTAAAGTTAGCTTTTGCAAAGAACCGTGTACAGAAGCTAGAAGTTTGATGATTGCTATCCAGTACATCGCCTATGAATTCGACAGTTATTTCCAAAGCAGGATGATACGAGTCCTCTGGTAGAACAAAAGGATTACTCTGAATAACAGAACACTTTGGTGGGGTATCAACTACTATACTAAATCTAAGCATTTACCAAATTTATTCAAAATTAAATTAATTTGGTTCAGACCTAACTCGGACACTTTTCCCAAAAACTCATTAAAGTATGACCAATTGCAAATCGGTACGATATAATCATCGAAAGCTGATGATGTATAAATACTGAAGTCATACTGTATCGATACTTTGCAGTACTACGTTTTCGAAGTCAGTTACGTTTATTTCATGCTTATGTAATATGTTTATTTAAATTGTTTTTCTTCATGTTGTATCGTTAAGTTTTCCTTTAGTTCCATGAGTGCAGCATGGATGCGGAAACGCAGGCGTGACTCAAGCGAAAATCCAGTGTATTTCTTTCTGCAATAATACGAGAAGATTAACGGCATACAATTAATTTTAAGAGTTTCTTTTATGACATACTCATTGGAATATTTTGCTTAATAATGATAATTTTGAATTTGAAAGCATATTATTTTCAATACTTTGGTAAAATGATCAATATTGTAGTTTAATGCTGTTAGTGGAATAATTATTAAATATACTTACTTTGCTTCCTCAATTGTGGCAAAAGCCAAATCGTAGTTTTGTTCGTCTGCATGCACCAGTCCTGATTCCACACAGGCGTAGGCCATCAAATATGTATCCTCTCTTACTTGACTTTCCAAGTTCATACATGCCTCAAGATCTCTTAAAAAAAACGATTTATTTTACACTAATTTAAGAATGTGTAATTTTGAACTTACTGCAATGCGAGGAATGGTTGCTTCATTTGTCGATAACAAGCGCCACGTAATAATAAACATAACGCTTGATTATCGAGTTCATAAATATCAGTAACATTTCTGTGCGCTAACTGTTCCATTTGGCGTTCGATTAAGCGGCAAATACTGTCAGCAAGCTGATAATTTTTACCAAGTACCTTGAATGTGTTCCAGACAAACATTAGCTCAACAGCTGGAAGGCACAGGTAATCATTTTGCGCAAAATACCGTGCAACTTTCTTACAAATAAATTTTTCCATTGGAAGTGATTTTCCAGCAATTCGTTGCTTATGCTTGGGTGCATCTCGCATTAGACGCTCAACGGTTTGCCGCTCAATATCGTTAAGGTCATCGTTCATTAGCATTATAACTGCCTGCTGATATGAATAAATTGTACGAGACCATTTGCTTTGTTCTACTAAGTAGCTGGCGTACAATCTCGCCTCGCGCCAATCTAACTTCAAGCTGAAAATATGTGCGAGTAATAAGCATCGGTAAAATAGGAACATTATAATTCGTACCTTGGGGTATAAATAAATGAGAACAGATAAATTTAATAGTTATATAAACGTACTGAAAAAGAAACGCAATTGTTTGGACGAATTTAATTTGTTAGTAGCTGGTTATAACGGGAGGAAAATTATTATTTTTTTAAATATATTATATTATATGTAATAATAATAACCCAATTATTACCCTCCTCCTGCCCAATCGACGCGAGGGGCGTAATCCGCATACGTGCGGAAGTAGCCGAATCATGAAAGGCAAGAGAGTTTTTTTAAGCGTCGAGATCTAAAACTGCTCAGCTACAGAAATAAAAATTTTAACAGCTAAGATTTAAATATACGTTATAACAAATTGTTACGATTATATTTATTAAGAGAAAACAATATAGTCCCTCTAATTTTGACAAGTTAGTTAGATAAATCAAATGTGCAGGAATTAAAATTATGACATTTATAAGTTTTAAACGACTAGTGTATGGAGATAGACTTAACCTAGAATCCCATCGGAAATTCCCTAAGGCGAAAAATAAAAATTGATTTTGAACAGACTCTAACGGATTTGGTCCTAACAAAAGTTATAAAAGTAACATACAGATCTCTTAATTCTTCAGACCAACCTTTAACAAAACTGAGAACACCTTTTGCTTTAAAGACCATAGTATCAATATGAAGACTCAAATTAAACATAGGGTCCATAGTTCTAGTCTATAGTATTTAATAAATAAGGAGAGGGGTGCACAGATCCACGGGAAAAGCACAGCGTCTTACATTTTTTGAGATTCAATGGCAAATCATTTCGATTACAAAAAACAACCAAATTATTTGAGTCATTTTGCAACAGACACCTCTCATCAGTTGAAGTATATGATTTAATAAGCTTTACGTCGCCGGGATCTATGTAAGAAAATTGTTGAGTATTCTATTGCAGAGGAGATATCGTTATTAAATAACAAGAACAGAATCGGGCCAAAATTTCCACCTTGCGGAACACCTGAAGATACATTAATTGTATCTGAAAGAATATCATCAAATATCACTCGATGTGTACTTGGCTGAAAGCATAGAAGATTAGCTTTTTGTACGAGCGTCGAGAGATTTACTTTATCAAAAGCTTTGCTAAAGTCAGTTGATATAACATCCGTATACTTATGTTCCCTAAAATCCAATGATCCATTTTTAAAAAATTCATATAAATTTGTTAGAGTAGATTTCCCTTTACGAAATCCAACCTGTGAAGAAGAAATTAATGGAGATATCAAAAAAGTAATGACCTGCGACGATAGCTTCAAAAAGTTTAGGTATAAATGATAGTTTTGCAAGGAATTAAATATCCTTGTCAAAGGCAAGTAGATATATTTGACAATATTTTTTACGAAGCATTTCTGGGTCGTAATTAAACTATGGTTTTAACTTATTTAAATTAAGTAAGATGTCTTCATCAGAAATAATTGGACAGTTAATTGATAAAATAAAGTGCTGATGGAAAAAATTTTAGGGGCATTAGTACATTTAATTCGAAAAATGCTAGTGATTGTTATGTGACATGATAGATTTGTATTTCATCNGTGTCCTTGAGCTTTTTGCGCGTAGATTTTTCGCGACATGTGCCCCCAAAGGTTCTCCACTGGATTCAAATCAGGACTGCATGCAGGCCATTTCATAAGAGAGATGCTCTTCAAACCATTTCAGAGACTCTTTAGAGACGTGGATGGCAGCGTTATCTTGTTGAAAAATGCTATCTTCATCCATTTTATCTTCCAAAAATGAAATGAGAGCGTCGTCCAACAATTCTGTGTATATTTTTGAGTTTATTTTGGGCGGCACAAAGCCAATTTTTGCTTTTCCTCTCGATGAGAAAACAGCCCACACCATAACGCTGCCACCACCAAAGTTTCTCTTTGACATACGGACGTCATTGTTACGCAAGTCATGCCAGTAACAACTGTACGAGTCTGGACCATCCAGGTTGAACTTTTTTTCATCGGAAAACACAACATTGTCCCACTCTATTGACCACTGCATGTGCTCTTTGGCGAAGTTTAACCGAGCTTGTTTGTGGTGCGGCTTCAATACAGGCTTGCACACCGGTTTTTTTCCATTTTGCGTTAGGTGACATGCGTAAAATGTGTGCAATGTGCCTTGTTGTCACCAGTAAATCCAACTTCTCCTTTATTTGAGTGGAGTTCAAAAAATGTTTTGTGGCTTCCGTTTTAATTTGGTTTATTTGGCGTGAATTTAGTTTTTTTATTGCCTTTCGTGGGCTTTTTTACGCCATAATTCTCACCTTTTTTTTAAAAGGAGCGCACAACTGCCTCTGATCTTCCGATTCTTCGCCCAATCTCTCGATTTGAGTAACCTTCTTTGTGGTACAGGTTGATTTGGACCTTTTCACTGTCGTTTAAGTAACTGCCTCTTGGCATTTTAATAAAACCTTAAAAAAAAATATTATAACAACTTTTTTGAACTTTAATAAACGAAAACTTACCAATCGTCAATTTAATTGAAAAAACTTTTTTTTATTTCTAATCACAAACACGTTGTCGGCTTCTCTAATCAGATGCGTTTAAACGAATATGTGCCTGTTTTTGCTATTTGATTTAAAATGGAACGATTTAAATATAACAATACGTTTGCACTCAATACGAATTTCCGTTAGTTTAACAAACAATATGAGACAGAATTACAACAAATAGTGCAATGCAAAGAAAGAGAGAAGTTAGCAAAATTAAAACTAAGAGTGCGTTTATACGTATATGTTGCACTGTAGTACTATCGTAAAATGTGTTGCAATACCATAAAAACACGCAGAAAACGAAATAAATATGGTATATACGGAAGGTTAACGGGAAGCTTGCTCCTTTATTAGGGGTATGGGGGATAAGGGTAGTATCGAACCAATTTGGCACAGGAAAACATTACTATCATAAAAAATTTTATTTTAAGTATATGGGAGATAGGAGAAGTATACAACCGATGTTATCCATTTTTGGCACCCCGGCACATTATTTCCAGATTTTTCACACTGTTGGAGGAAGGGCCAAAAATTTTGTCTTGAGCAAATAAGTGGTTTGTGAGATAAGTATACTAAATCTTTTAGCAGGCGGGGCCTGCCAACTTTTTCTCCTCACTATTGCGATCCCCTGCACCAAATTACAGTTTTATATCTTAACTTGGTGCTTAGTTATGGCACTTTATAGGTTTTCGTTTAATGGTACTTTGTGAGTGTGGAAATGGTTTAAATACGCCCATCTACAATACCTTTCTCCCAATTTTTCCAAAGAACACGTGTGTAAAATTTCATCACAATATCTTAATTTTTACACAAGTTGCAGCTTGCCCAGACAGTCGGACGGACAGAGAGTCAACATAATCATATATATTCTGTTGCGCGCAAATAATTAACAACGATATTAAATCTAGTAATAGTAGGTTGTTTTTGTCTGCGATATAAATTTTGAAACTATTTCTTACATACAAGAAAGACATGGGCATATTTAAATAAAAAAAGTGTATTTGCGTATTTCGATGTGTGGTTTTAAATATTTTGTGAAATTCAACCTGGACTGAGTATTCAATTGTAAATTGAATTGTTATTATATTCGATTGGCATCTTGTGGATCTGTGGATGCAACAAAATAATATTAAAACCGCAATTAAAAATCAGGGGTTGATCATATGAGTGAGAAAATTTAGAGTTTATTTTTCAATGCTGAATCGTGAAAAAAAAAAAAATTTCACCAAAAAAATGTGGGATGAGCCACAATATAATATTATATACGACGTATAACATCGCGCACGTGGCTGCCCACGCATACGACCGATTGGAGGACAGCTGGAGTTTTCGCGCATTCCTAATCTTCACAGGTTGAGTGCAGCGCATAAAACGTTCCAATCATTTCATTTTCAAAAATTGCTATGCCAGATAGCGTGGACGTGCAAGTGGCCGACAGTATAACGCCGCTCCAACGTGTTTCTATACGGTTCCCGTTATTCAATTCCGAACGACCAGCCTTGTGGTTCGCCTAACTTGAGGATCAATTTCATCTCGCCGGAATTTCCGATGAAATTACGCAATACCACTATGCTTCTTCACATCTTGACGCCAGGGCGGCCGCAGAAGTGGAAGATCTTCTTTTGAATGTTCCCACAGAAACGCCTTACACTCGCTTAAAAGGGACACTGGTCGAACGCCTTACGCTCTCTCGAGAAGCACGACTACAGCAGCTTCTCGATCGAGAGACCTTGGGTGATAGAAAACCATCGCAATTTCTCCGACATCTCAGAAGCCTTGACAACACTGTTCCTGACAATATTCTATGAACTAAGTGGCTCAGCAGAATTCCGATGACAATCCAATCTATACTTGCGTCCCAAGCAGACATGAATGTCGATAAACTCTTTCCTTTGCAGACAAAATACACGATATCGCATTACCAGCAGCACAAATCAATTCGGTCTAAGAACCAGCAGCAACATCAGCAGTCGAATCACGCATTTCTCGTCTCGAAGCTTCAAGTAATGAGCTAGCTTCCAGTTTTAAGAGACAAGTCATATCTCGTTCCCGTTCTCGTCATCGCTTTCGTTCGCGCACATCTTCTCCAGCACCGAACAACGACACGCCTTGCACATTTCAGGGAAACCTATCGCCGGATCGTTAGTGGCGGTTAACGGCTCGTCACTCGAATCAAACCACCTCTTCGTAACAGATCATGCCACCAAAATCCAATTTCTGGTGGATACTGGCGCTGATCTCTGCACGTTTCCCAAGTCTCTCGCACCTTGGTCGCTCATAGCAGTAAATGGATCTACGATAAACACGTACGGTTTCATAACTCTATCACTAAACCTTGGCCTCAGACGAAATTTTACATGGCGCTTCGTAGTGGCGGACATAACGAAACCTATTATTGGCGCAGATTTTTTAGCACATTTCGGCATCTTACCCGACCTAAAGAACAACTGCCTTATCGACTCGATCACTGGACTAAAAGTCGCATGTAAATTATCAGCATCCAACATCATTTCGGAAATTAAAGTACTGCCCGTCGACCCTATATGGGAATACTCTAGTGGAGTTCCCATATCTGACAAAGCCGAAAGGAATCTGTCAGCCAACGAAACATACGACGCAGCACCACATATCTACTACGCCCGGGACCTTCTGTTCCTGTAAGGCCGAAGACTTGTTCTGACAGAACTCAAAATTGCTAAGAAAGAGTTCCGAAAAATGTTACAATTAGGAATCGCTCAACGTTCGAAGAGCTCCTGGTCATCTCCGCTCCACCTGGTTCCAAAGAAGTCTGGTGAATGGCGACCTTGTGGAGATTATCGACGACTTAACGCCCGTACATTGCCAGACCGATATCCTGTTCGTGTTCTCGAAGACTTTACTGCCAATCTAACCGGCAAAACAATATTTTCAACCATTGATCCGCTCTGAGGAAACACTGTCCATACGACCGTGGAGCTTCACGCTATCTACGCGAGCTTTACGAAAATTTCGCTATATTTCGAAGCACGACATGTCACGATATTCAGGATCACAAACCTTTGCTACATACTTTTGCTCAGGACCCTGATCGAGCGACACCTTGGCAATTCCACGCTTGGATTTCATCAGCCAGTTAACAACCGATATCCAGTAATAGAGCCGGCAAAGACAACATCGTCGCAGATGCTCTTTCCCGCATCGAAGAAATATCAACGGCAGTATCCTCAAACGAACTTTCTCAAGCACAAGCTGAAGACGAGGAACTTCAGCAACGTATACGAAGACGCAAACGATTCACTGAACTTACGACCAGTCAACATTCCAGGCTGCAATAAACCAATTTATTGCGACGTTTCTAGCGACCTTCCGTCCTACGTCCTGCAGCGCTTAGGAAGAGAATATTCGAAGCTCTCCATAGCATTAGCCATCCCGGAGCACGAGCCTCCGCCAAATTGTTAACGCAACGATACGTTTGGCCCAGCATTTAACCGCGATTGCCGTTTGTGGGCCCGAACGTGCCTAGCTTGCCAACGAATGGAATAAGGTAATCACGCCACGTTTTATCACCAATCCAAAACTTTCCATGCCGCACAAGACGTTTCCAACATATTCACGTGGACATCATTGGACCATAGTACCATCAAGAAGAATCGCAACTGTTTGACAATCATTGACCGTTTCACCAGGTTTACAGAGGCATTTCCTATTGATAATATCGAGGCCGAATGTGTCGCTCGCACACTCTTCGCCGGATGGATATATGCTACGGAGTACCGTTACGAATCACGACCGACCAGGGTACACAGTTTGAGAGTCAACTTTTTAACGCTCTCGCTCGTCTCCTCGGCAGTAACACATACAACACCCACACTTTCCATCCACAGTCGAATGGAATGGTGGAACGTCTTCACCGTCATTTGAAGGATGCGATTCGTTGTCACGAAAATAACTCATGGGTCGACATGCTACCAATCGTCCTTCTTGGAATTCGCGCTGCCTGGAAGGAAGATCTTGGCGCAACTCCTGCCGATCTTGTTTATGGAGAGCCAGTTCGTCTACCAGGTGAATTCCTCGCTCCTTCGCCACGATCTGGTTTGCCACCATCCAATATGGCAGAACGCTTGAGAAACTACTTCGCAGACCTCGCACCTCAACCTACCGTCCGACATGGTCAGAGGAAAACATTCATTTTTAAAGAACTATCGACATGTTCACACGTTTTTGTTCGTCACGACGCTCCACACCACGCATTCACTTCACCGTATGAAGGACCTCACCGAGTCATTTCAAGGTAGGAGAAACATTTCATCGTAAACGTAAGAGGCGACAACACTACAGTTTCGATCGATCGACTAAAGCCTGTCTACCTCCTTCCCGACGATAAGCTCAACGACACTGAGCAGAACAACGACGATGACAACAACACAACGCTATTACATTAACTTCACCGGAGTCATCCGAATCTGGGGCATCTCGATTTTCATCGTCATCATACCGCCCATCAGAATCCGACTTCAGCTCACCTACACCGTTACCCAAGAGACGTGTCAGATTCCGCTGAACTACTGATCACCTTCTTAAATTATCAATGATTTCGATAATGTACTCCGAGAAGGGGAGTACTTTTGGGATGAGCCACAATATAATATTATATACGACAATATAACATGGCAACATCATGTCAGCAAGTCAGCTGATCCTGGCTTACAAGCAACGCTGAAACGAATACGACACAAAACGGAACAGCGAATACATAGTCAACAGTTAGGCTCGAGGACGCCTGCTGTTATTATAAAAGACTATACAACACGGTTAACGGCGTCTTCTCCTGCTGGCAGCCACCGCGTGCGCATCGTTCCTGCACATCAATCAAAAAGAAATAATATTTGGGGTGGACCGCCCTTAACATATAGGGGTATGAAAATTAGATGTTCTTTAATTCACAGAACGACCCGATAAGCACACCAATTTTCAGCAAATTGGTCCAGCCGTTTAGGAGGATTTCGGCAACAAACACCGTGACACGAGAATTTTATATTTCTATTAGATGAACTTATGTATGTATATTTTTTGTCGAAATGCACATAAAATAAATTTTACTAACCAGTTTACCCACAATAACTCCCAAAAACTCAGATGATGGAATTGCGTCCAGACGTTTTGTGATTTCCATGATTTTTTATACCAATACTGCGCTTCATCCAGATTACCCTTCATGAATTCTAGTCGGCCCTTAAAGAAAAGAAACCACACACCCTGAGGATACAATAGTAATTGTTCCTCTAGAATGTTATGGCACAGTTCTAAATCACCTCCCTGATGACTTGTCACATAACAAACTATCAGATGATAACCAAGCAAAGTCATGGCGCAAAGCACCTGACGTAGACCGGACAAATGATACCCGGTGTTCAGATCAGTTAGACCAGCAGTCTAAAATAAAATAAACTTCTTATAAGATAGCTGGTTTGATTGATATTCTACGTGCTACCTTATTTCCAGAGAATCCTATGAACTGCAAGACTTTTATAACACCTGAAGGCAGTAAAGAAATCATTAAATTAAAGGCGCCAACACCCATTCGCACACCGCTCTCGAAATGCACTTTTGACACATCTGATTCCCATTGTCTTTGCACAAGTATTTGAGCGCACTCCCTTAAAAAAGATTAGTAAACTTAATATATTCGTACTTAAGTAATACTAGAACATACTTGTAGCTACTGTAACAATGTCGTATCTTCATACCTCCGCGTATCAAACTTGTTAAAGTCTCGTCCTCAATGAATGTGAGTAGAGCTCGCAGGAGCAACGCCTCTGCATAACATAGTTCAGCATGCGCCTCCAAATCAGTGAGTTGGGTGTAATTAGTCTGGGTAGAATGTCAAATGTATGTAATAATGTACTTGATATTAATATTGCATATTGGGCAGCAACAGAAGCAACCGGAGTGATAAGGCAAACAATTTGATTTTTTTCATTTTAACACAACATAGAATTAACTGATGTCCTCAACATCATTAAAACACCAGTTAATTATCATAAACTGCGTTAACCTGATCTGGAAAATAAGAAATCAGTTCGAACTTATTTAATATTTAAAAAATTGATGAATTGCTTCTAAAAAGTTCATTTTGTGGTGTATAAATGTCACCTTCACAACTTTAGTTTTGTTTATTTCAAAAGTATTATTTTTTTAACTACTCTCAGGTACTTCTGGGGTCGCCGTTATATACCAAAAACATGTTTGGCTTACATACCCTCTTAAATTTCTTCCCGATGGACTGTGTAATAGTGTTTTTGCGCTTATAACGTTGACAAACACTTAAGCACTTCTTCAATTCATCTCCGGCTCTGGCAATGTATCGCTGTTCAAATGTTAATATTGCTTCCAGGAATATAAAAACAGCATTACCCATTGAATGGTACATGCTGACATGCGCGTATGGTTGCAACAAAGTGCGAGCTTCATCGAATTTGTTGTTGAAAAAATAACAAATGGCCAACTTGGCTTCCTCCAGAGCGTTATCTAAATCCATTTCAAAGTCCCTATATAACATGTATTAAAATTTGCAATAAACTTCGAAAAATGCCTTCTGCAGTGTTTACATTCTATGTTTAGTTTTAACCCTTTCCAAACGTCATATAATGCACTCGTTGGTCAAATAAAAAAACTAGTTTGATGTTAGTCGGGATATGGAATCAAATCCAGCTTTTGCAGATACTTCTTCAAACAGACATACAAAAGGTTAGTTTCCAAAATTGGTATATTATAGCAAAACCACTGTACCACGTTACACGCTGAAGAAATTGCTTTTAAGTTGCAATACACTCACACTTGTCTACTACCACACTCTCACTTTTTGAACGTAAGATCGTCTTGATATCAATTTTTCAATTTCAAAAATTTGGATATGACGAGATTGCCTTTCTCAACTCATCCCGTTTTTCCCATTCCAGCTTTCTACATTATTATTTCCTTCAAGGATTGCAATCGGTTTCCATGACGACGGCATCTTGAAACTATTATTGATTATCAAGTTGCTTGCAGCCTCTCTGTCCATTTAAATCAATTTTGACAAGTAGTTTGTGTGATCCGCTTGAAAGCAATTTTTTGATCGTGTAACTGTATCGTAAGTTCTGGTGTAACCGAACATTTTATACTTTCGCGATTTGCAAGTATCCAAGAAGGGGAAATAAACTCAGTTGTTGGTCAAACTTTACATTAAGCAAATAATGAAGGGTTAAGTTCAGTTGTAGCCGAATATTTTATACTCTCGCGGCTTGAAAGGGTTAAAGCCGGGAAGTACCTTCAGGTTGGCAAAACAAAACTGTTATGTTAAAATTCAACATTCATTATTCGACGAAACCGTCAATGGATTAAAAATATATTTGGTACCTTATTAGCTTATTTTATAGGTCAAAAACTCACTAAGTTTCATATGTACTTCTTTTATTTGCTTTCACTTTCCCCTAACTGTGACTTCATAAAAGAAACCCTCAAAGACAGAATTCTTCTCAAAAAATCTAGTATTCTCATATACTTTTATAAAATAGAAATACGTACAAACATGCTTCGTTTAGATACAATAAATATATATAATCTAATAAATATTAATAGAACCTGGGAAATTGAAATCGTACTTAAAGTCTTCTGGTTCACTGCTGGCATCGAAGAACTGTGGATAAGATGGCATATATTAAAATAGAAGTATTAAGTTTCAAAAGACTGGAGTATCAGTAAAGGATATGTGATAAAGTTTGCACTCACACGTAACGATATGTAAAAGAATTAAAAGGATGAATGCTTTGTGAAAATCTACATACTATAAATGAGAGTGTATAGCCCCAATCCTGGCGAAAATTTCATTAGTTCAAAATTGGTTGTATTGGAGCTTTTTTTAACATTACGATATTTAAAAACGTTTCTATTTTCCCATTTTTTATGATTTTAATCGCGCTGTTTAAACTTTATAAAGACATGTTCGACCATGACGTAGTGGATAAACTATTGTGAAAAGGCCACAGGCTACATCATAGACATTCCAAAACGTCAGGAAAAACCTAATTCGAATGCATACATCAACATTACTGCGGTAGAGTTGCTTTTCAATTAATTATTTTATTCAAAAATGAGAAAAAAAGGGGCGAATTGGATTATTAGAATGATATGGAGGACTTGATGTAAAATATATTAAGAAAATTATAATTGTCCAGGCATTGCCCACATAATGCAAACATTTTTAATTTTTTATTTACCTTTGTACCTATATACAGGTCTAATTTTATTTTTTTTGGGAATGCCCCTTTTCGCTACTAAAAATTTGTGAAATATGGTTTGTAGGTATCTTAATGAATAAATGATTCCCTAGGCCAGCAGAGGACGTATGGACTATTTGATTAGTTTTGGTGGAATCTACATACATTTTTGTCTTTGATATTGTTACCTAAATACATATTTTGTTATCAAAAATATTTATTTTGATGACAAAGGATCTGGCAATCGCATCATTTTACATTTTGAAAATATTACCAAATGGAAATGTAAAACATGAAACTAAATCTATTTAGTCAATTAAATGCGCATTTTGTTATATTTCAATTATATTAAATATAAAATCAGAGATTTGAAAGTATTGAATGTTAGAAATATTAGGAAACCGTTCAACAACCGCAGCCATTACATACAAGTATATATATCTGTATAAATGTATATCTTAAAAATAATATAGTAAAAAAATCCTGATCAGCGACTACGCCTTCTTTTGTTATAAGATTCAATGTGATTTGATAATCTGAAGAACTCTTAACGACTAACTTTTTTGAAAAAATAATTGAGAAATTTGTTTTACATTCCTAGCTTTGCTTCTCAATCCCTGTATAATGTAATAAACATACGCAACTTGAAAGGATGGGGGGTAGTCAGAATTTTGAAAAAATCTATTTTTAAATTTCTTAATATATAATATTTTAGAAATATTTTCCGAAAATTTGAAGTAAATCCGACAAATACTTTTCTAGTACGCAAAGGGTTCTCGGTTGCTCCGAACCATTCGAGAACAGGTAGGTAGCAGCAAATGCAAGCGACTCATTCTTGGTGCTCTAATCAGAGCGGTGAAGCAAGTGGAGAGCTTGCTACTTATACTTCCGATTATTCTCCCCAACCTTCTGATGTTTTAGAAGCTATCAAGCCAATTTATGAAGATCTTAGTAATGACATGTTACTTTCAAGATGTGTATGGTCACCGCAAGGAGCTTCGGTCGAAACTGAATCAACGCAAAAAGCCATTACTTTTAATTTTTTATAAAGCTCTTTCTAGTCAAGTCGAAGCCTTATTTAATGATGCTTTTACTTTTATAAAATAAAACAATTTACTGGCAAAAAAACTGAAATTGTAATTTTTTTATATCTCAGACTACACCTAACCCTTCGTAAAAGTAATATCTATTTCTCTCTATTTGTTTTTACATATCATATAATCGAACCCAATTGGAAATATACATACATATAATAATTACTTTTTAAGGAAATTGCCCATGGAACAACTTATTCGTAACACTACATTCCCAACTATTAATCCAAAACATGTTTGAACGTAAATATATCAAAACACAAAAAAAATATTTGAAAAACAATTTCTGTATCAAAAATGGTAAATTTTAAAGCTTATTTTAGGTTCAGCAAAAAATTCACATAGGAAAGAACTCGTAGCTGACATCCGAAATGTTGCTCCAGAGACACCGTACAATAATCGTAATGTAGTCTAAGAGCTTGAACAAATTAATTTTACTGATGGATGAATTAATGTTTGTAATTAATGTATTTGAGGGAAAGGTAGCAACACATGCAAAACTCGTCTGAAGCCTTCTGAATTTTTTTTTAGTCAACACAAATACGTACCTCATTTTCGTCTTCATCTTCAATATTTTCGTTCAACGCGTCCACTCTGCTTGAATTTGCACTTTCGCAACGAGTGGGCAACATTTCTGATCTAAAAGAAGGTAAAAATATAGATCTATAAGTATATACTTACATACACTAGAATACCGCTTTGCTGTGGCTAAGGTATATATAAAACAAGTAAGGAAGGGCTAAGTTCGGATGTTACCGAACATTTTATACTCTCGCAAAGTCAAATGGTATACTCGTTTGAGATTTCTTTGTGGATTGACTGATATTTTCGGTAGAAGGTCAACTATAGGCACTGTGGTATTTAAAATGGTGTCATATGGAAAATAGGCGTGGTTGTAATCCGATTTCGCCCATTTTCGCACTATGACATAGAAACATAAAAAGAACGTTATGCACCGAATTTGGTTGAAATCGGTTGAGCAGATCTCAAGATATGGGTTTTCACCTAAAAGTGGGCTGTGCCACGCCCACTGTCTAATTTTGAACGCGGTTCCTATAAAGTCATCTTATACCATCTCAGAGATAAAATTTAATGTCTCTGGCGTGTTTAGTGCTTGATTTATCGCGCTTTTAGTAGTTTTTAACAGTACCGTTATATGGGGAGTGGGCGGAGTTGCCACCCGATTTCAACTATTTTCACACCGTCAATAGAAGTGCTAAAAACATTTGCTTCCAGTGAATTTTGTTATTATAGCATTAGCGGTTTAGGAGATATGCACATTAAACCTATTAGAGGCGGGACCACGCCCACTTTTTAAAAAAAAAGTTTAACTGCAGATGCCCCTCCCTAATGTGATCCTGTGTACCAAATAACAGTCTTGTATCTTATTGCGGAGCTTAGTTATGGCAAGTTATTTGTTTTTGATTAATGGCGTTTTGTGGGCGTGGCAGTGGTCCGATTACGCCCATCTGCAATACCAACCGTCTCACGGTACCATGAAACATGTCTACCAAGTTTCATAAAGATATCTGAATTTTTACTCAAGTTAGAGCTTGCACGGACGGACGGACAGACGGACAGACGGACGGACAGACGGACGGACGGACAGACAGTCACCCGGATTTCAACTCGTCTCTTCATCCTGATCATTTATATATATATAACCCTATATCTAACTCGATTAGTTTTAGGTGATACAAACAACCGTTAGGTGAACAAAACTATTATACTCTGTAGCAACAGGTTGCGAGAGTATAATAAAATCATGAGCATGTGTTCAAAATTCATATAAGAATAATTTGAATATTTCATTATTATATTTATTTTTTACTGCAACAGTGCAATAATTTTCGTATACCATACATATATGAACTATACTGGTTGTTGCTACTGAACAAGGCGGTTCGTTTTAAGACGCACCATGTGGAACCGGTGAGACATTTTTAACATCACAACAGAGATTATCTGACAGTTCCATCGCCAAGACATTGCGGCTACTTTGCGAGATTATGGCCGAACAACAGGCATTAATAACAAACCCAACGCAACATCTAACATAAGAAATAGCGATATAACTGCAGTGTTGATAAAAAGTGCAGTTATATTTTGAGATGAGATGAGAACCATTACAAACTGATCCACTTTCTGAAATAATGCAATTGCAGTTTACAGCAAATCTCATGAAAGAAAAAAATTGTTGTACAAGATAAAAACATAAAAAAAAAACACAATAACTTCGTTATTTGAACTTTTCACATAAATTTTGAGGTTAAGTGAAAAAATTCTATATACAAAAGTTATAGATCTTTTGATCACCTACAACATTGCCATATAACGTTTTTCTATTGGACTAGTTTTGCCGGAAATCGAGATAACATAAATCATTTCTAACCCTTAAACATTCAACCACGCCTGTTTTGGTGTGGTCTTTGTATAAACACTCCTCTATTCAAAAGCATCACGCTGTTTTACATGGGCTCAATCGAAAAAACAGCTGTCCCGCAAGCAAGGCACACCAGTTGATGAATGCCCCGGTTTATTTAAATCAAATAATTTAGGTCGTATCTATACGGTGAATCGATACAAACTGAATGCTTTTATTTGCGATTGTTGTTAGTTAATGTCATCGGACCAATGTCATTTTAGGTTTTACGTAAAGTAAATGGACAACAGTATCTAAAATATAAAGATGCGTGCCTTGCACTAAGCTTGCTAAAAGAAGACAGTCATTGGGACAGTATGCTTGCTGAAGCAGCATTATACTACACATAAACACAAGTTCGTCTACAATTTGCTATAGTACCGACGACGATCACAAATGTTGTGGGTTAATCACAAAGATTCGATGACTGATGATATATTGTGTCGACATCGTACAAGATGCAACGTTAACGTATCATTTCATGGCGCAATGTACAATGAAGCATTGATTGCTATTGAGTCATAGCATTGTCATTGCGAATGCAGTTAGCAGTCATTTCGATATGAGTTCCCCAAATTGAAGTGCATCTGATAAAATCAACACAGATATAAATCGTGGAATGAATTATGATACTCTCGAATTGGCAGTGACTGTTTCTTACAATGTTCCAAAACTAAATAATGAATGAAAAACATTTACGACCTCACTTTGTTGGCAGTTTCGGCAGTGGAAGAAGGATTATTTTTATTTTGGATGCGCCAGGTGGTACTGGCAAAACATTCCTAATTTCGCTACTTCTTGCTGAAATACTTTAGCACAAAAATATTTGCTTGAGGCATTGGATAGGATATTGAAAGTAATAAAAAAACAACGATAAACTATTTGGCGGCTCTCTGTTACTCCTTTCAGGTGATTTCAGACAGACCCTTCCCGTTATTCCACGTTAAATAAACGCTGATGAAATGAACGCTTGCTTTCAATCATCGCGACTTTGGAGTAATGTTGAAAAAGTACAACTGACTGTGACCCTGAGCGTTTATAGATCCATCTGCCGAAACTTTCGCAAAACAATTGTTAGATATTGGCAATAGAAAAGTAGCTGTACATATATAGCAAATTTAATACAGATATGATGAGAGCATAAAACACTGCGTCGTATTCTGTATTCTTCGAAAATATTGAAGTGGTAAGTTTTCTTAAGCCAATAAGATTAATTAATGTTTAAGCAATCGTACTTATGGTATAGTGTCGAAACACTTCAATGGACCATAAATATATATGTGCGAACAATTGCAAATTGATCCACCTTCAGAAATAATACAATTGCTGGATATTAGGAATAGAGCATTACTACAACCAAATACGCAATGCATTATACTGCCAGACGATTTCTGCACTCCTGTTTACGAAAAAAATTTATTGAGAGTATATTCCTGAAAGTAAAAGTTAATTGTTTGGATTATAACTGGCTCAGTAATCGGGCTACATTAGCGGTCAAAAATGTAAATGTTGACGAAAATAATTTCCAGATATACCAGTTGTTGCTAACGTTCGAGTGTAACCGAACATTTTATACTCTTGCAACTTGCAAGGTTCAAATCCGGCTAAAAACCTTCAGGTGTTGGCAATATTAAAAAATGTAGTGAAAGGGCTCAACTTCATCGTTCGATGAATTCGTGAATGAATTACAATGAAATTTGTATCATATTAACTTAGTTTGATGGTCATAGACCCAGTTAGTTTAATTAATACGCTATATTTTACTCCCGGTCAGCGAAAATTATATTAAAATCATCCTTAACTTAGATATGTATATATCTGATATAAACTAAAACAACCTAAACGGTTTAAAGGGTGGAAGGTCGGATATTAATATATGGGATATAATGGGGGCAGAAAAATGGAAGGAAACAGAAGGGCTGATTGCATTAATTTTTGCCTATGTTCAGGTATACTTGAGAACTTATTTGCAAGCAATTTTATAAATATAAACATATATATGGAGGAAAGTAATCCTAAATATCAGTTGTATGGGGGCTAAGGAAAGTTTTCGCACGATTTTATCTATTTTAGACACAAAGATATACTGTTATTAGAAAAACAGGCTCTCTTAATTTCATTAAAATTTCTAGCAGATTTGCCGATATATGTGGTATAAAGTCAACTGGAAGTTCGAAAATTCTAATTTCAATAATTTATCTCACATGCATGAACAGGTATTTTTAGTTTCAAGATTCATACCTCAAAAGCACTATTTGTGCAAAGTTTTATCCGAATATATTTATGGGTTATTTGCTTACTGGAAAGTGAAAGAATGTTATGGAATTTAAAATTGTGTTATGTGGGTAGTAGGCGTGGTTGAGTCCGATTACATTTTCACAACGTAACATTTGGTTGAAATCGGGTGTGAAATTTTATGTCTCTGAAGCATTTAGTTATTGATTTATCGTGCTTTTAGTAGTTTTTAACAAAATCGTTATATGGGGAGATGGCGGGGGGATTTCATCCATTTTCACACTGTTGGAAAGGGTTTTCAAAAGATTTTTCCTAAGCGCATTTGGTTAATGTAGCTTATAACCTATTAGAGAGATTAAAAAATGTTTGGTGCCCTAAGCTAGTGCAATCCCCTGTACCAAATTAAAGTTTTAAATCTAAATTTAGTGCTTAGTTATGGCTTTATTTAGGTTTTCGATTAATGGTGTTTTGTGTTCGTGACAGGGCTCCGATTACACACATCTACGAACTCGTCCGTTCTTTTTTGCCAAAGAACACGTGTACAAAGTGTCATTACGATATCTAAATTTGTACTTAGGTTACAGCTTGCATGGACAGACGGACGGACAGACACTCCCCCGGATTTCAACCTATAACCCTACATCTAAATCGATTATTTTTAAGTGATACAAACAGCAGTAAGGTGAACAAGGCTATTATATTATATTTTGTAGCAGTATCTTGGAAGAGTATAAAAATTTAAAATTATCTACCCTCTTTAATTATCTCAAATTACTCATTTATTACGAACATGAATATAAAATAATAAAATAAAAATGCAACATCTTATATATTACGTTTATTTAAGCTTAATAACATATCTAAGAAAATTTTTATGAATCATTTTAAAATTTTTAAGCAATATTCAAATTTTATCCCCGTAAATTCCTACGCCAGGATTTCTTTTCCAACTGCTAATCTAATTGCTCACTCATTTCCAGTG